ACTAGTGCTAGCAGAACTAAGGGTAGCTATGTAACAATGTTACAACGTTGTTTTAAGTTTATTAAATATAGGCACTTAGTGTTTTAGCTGTTGGTAATATTAGCGCGAAATTAGGGCTGTTGGGCGCAAATTAGGGCCGTTGGGGCCGTTGAACAGCCGTTGCACGACCATGCCACGACTGTCAGCAACGGCCAGTCTGGGCCGGATTTCGAAAAACTTTTCCCGATGTAGTTAGCTATCTTATATAACTTAAGACAGCTCTTCTAGTAGTTGTTGTCTTCTTTCTACACCTTAAGTCTATTTAATAAGAGCTCTAATAGTGCTTTAGGTAGTAATAGCTCTCTGTCTGTATTGTTGCTAAGTGTTGTTCTCTGTTTGTATGTTGTAAGATCTAGCGCAGCTAGTAACCGCGGCTTTAACTTTAGGCGCGTGAGTTAATCAGGATCAATTTAATCCCACACGTCTAGAGAGACACAGCGTATCTCTAGCTAGCGTAGCCACAGGGTGTACATTGTATAGTTAGTAAGTACAACAGTAGGTGTGCTAAGGATTAATATTATTCTAGCTTAGTTATAGTAGTATGACTCTTAATTATTAGAATTTTGTACTAATATTAGAGTATAAACTTAACAAGATTATAGGTAGTAAAAATTATGTATATTTTCTCTTTTTTTTACTTTATTGTCTCTCCTCTAATCTTATGTACTCTTAACCTGCCTTTCTATTAATTATTAGCTAAGGCTTTATCTTAGTAGTCCTGAATTGCTTAGGTACCCCTCTTTTATATGCTTAGCGACCTTAATCTAGCGTGTTGCTGATCATTTAGCTTAGTCTGTGGGCCCCTGCCTTGCTTGGTGAACTTGGCTGAGACCTCTGAGTGATGTCTCTGTACAGATCCGGCCCTGCCAACCTTTCCTCAGTAATCCAATATCTGACAAAAGGATATCTACTTCCTAACAACTTTTGCTAAAAAGCATGCACAAGTTAACTAGACGTCTAGTTAACTGCGTAGATAATATATATCTAGCTTAAGCCAAGCCGGCTAAGCCAATGTGACCAGCTAGCTCTAGCTCTTCTTTAGCTTTAGAGTCTAGACCGTTACATACCTCTATAGTTAAAGCGTTTAAGAAGGTCTTAAAGGGGGCAGCTATAATTGCGCACAAGCTAGTGTTAGCGCAACAGGAGATTGCTGAGCTTTAAGCTGCCAATAAAGCAGCTACATAACAAAAATCACACAAAAGAAAGTAGGTTAAGAAAGAAGGTACTCTAATAGTTAAAGAGGGCTAGCAATTAATAACTCTAAAAGAGTTTAGGGCGTAACGTACTCCACAAGCAAGTGGCTCACACAAGCGAGTGGCTCACTTTTGCCAAGACCACACCAAACTTCACTCTACCTACAATGCCTCAACGTAACAACACAATCAAACCCTTAAAGGAAGCAGGAATACAGCTTGCTCTTCAGGCTATCTATTAAGACGCGACACTCTCTTAGTGACGCGCTGCAGCCATCTACAACGTGTCTTAAAGGACACTTAGTCACTAACTTGCTAGAACCTCTCCACAACGCGATTGCAAGCCTAATATAATTAAGATTACTAGCACTAAAGAGGAGGTAATTGTCCAGCGCGTGTTAAGGCTAGAGAAGTAAGGATTCTCACCCTAACTCACTAATGTAGAGGGCATAGCTAATTCTCTGCTTGCTAAGCGCCACTAGACCCCTGTTAGCAAGAACTAGGCTGCCAACTTTGTTAAACTTTGGCCAGAGCTTAAAGTTAAGTTTAATTACAAGTATAACTACAAGAGAGCGCTGTGTAAGGATCCTAAGGTAATTAGTGACTAGTTCTAGCTTGTAGAGAATACTAAAGCTAAGTATAGTATCCTAGATAAAGACACCCACAACTTTAATAAATCTAGCTTTATGATGGGTGTTATATCTACTAGTGCTGTTGTCACAGGCTCTAAGTGTTAAGGGAGACCAAAGACAGTGCAGCAGGGCAACTAAGAGTAGACTAGCATTATCCAAGGCATCTGCGCAAAGGTCTAGTCTATCCCACCCTTCATTATCCTCTCTAGCAAGCACCACCTCTTGGCCTAGTACAAGGAGCCTAGTATACCTAACAACTAGGTTATTAGTGTCTCTAACAATAGCTAGACTAATAATAAGCTTAGAGTTAAGTAGTTAAAGCACTTTAATAAGCATATAAAGGCGCACACTGTTGGCAGCTACTAACTGCTTATTCTAGACAGCCACGAGAGCCACAACTCAGTCAAATTCCACTAGTACTGTGAGGAGCACAAGATTATCACTCTGTGTATGCCCCTATACTTATCCTATCTGCTACAGCCGCTTGACGTGGGTTGTTTCTCCCCATTAAAGAAGGCCTATGGCCGCCAAGCCAAGCAGCTGATGCAGAGCAAGATCACTCGCATCACCAAACTTGAGTTCTTGCTGTGCTTCAAAGCTGCTTTTAATGCTTCAATTACTAAGAGTAACATCTAGGGAGGATTCAGAGGCGCTGGTCTGGTCCTATTTAACCTAGAGGCTGTGATATTAAAGCTTGAAGTACAGCTACGCACGCCAACGCCACCTATTGTAGACAACAGCACATGGGAGTCTAAGACACTAAGCAACACCCTAGAATTTAGGTCTTAATTAAAGCTAATTTGAGAGAGGATCTAGAGACACGCTAATAGCTCACTAATATTAATAGTTAACGCCCTTAATTAGCTTACTAAAGGCGCAGAGCTAATAGCGGATTCACTAGTTTTAGTGCGCCACTATGTTGCTAACCTTCAGGTAGCTAACAAGGCTGCTACACGCTGTAAATTACACAAAAGAAAGCAATTACAGCAAGATAGGGTATTAACCTTTGCTAAGGGAGTGCAGCTAACTACTCTAAAGGAGTTTAAGGCCTGTAGTAATAGGAAGAAGGCAAAGAAGAGAGGAGGCGCTAATAGCAGCACTTAGTTATTAAGACACTGTAGCATATATGGCAAGGCAGGGCACAACAGGACAATGTGTAAGAAAGATGCGCAAAGTACTATAGATTAGTGCAATATACTGTGTAGTACATGATATTGTTGTTGTGTGCTGTAATGTTGTAAAGTAGTTGTAGTGTTGGTGTAGTCTTGGCAAAAGTGAGCCACTCGCTTGTGTGAGCCACTCGCTTGTGGAGTACGTTATAGTAAGTACTAATCGTGCGCGTCTTTATATGCCTGTTAAAGTGCTTTAACTAGTTAAACCTAAGCCTGTTAGTAGTCTAGCTATTTTTAGAGATACTAATAACCTAGTCTTAGGGCAGGGTATTGTCCTTATACTAGTTAGACAGGTGTTGGTGGGCTTTAAAGATAATGTAGGCTAGAGTAGCCTATCCTGTGGCATTAATGCCCTTAATAACTGTTACCTACTCCTAGTTGCCTAGCTGAATCTGCTTTGCTTGTCCTAGCTTCTCTGCATCTGTAACAACTACTCTAGTGCTTATCTAGCCTATTATAAAGCCTGTCTTGTTAAAGTTGTATGTGTTGTTATCTAGGATGCTGTAACGACGCAGGCAAGAAGAGAGATATCCAGAATAGGTGTGAATCCGCTACAAGGCATATGGGAGTGCTAGGATGATAAGAACACTAGGATATATTCTCTACACCTATAGGTCTTGTATAAAAGGATACAGAAAAACTACTCTACAATACTACAGTTCCTTGCTCCTTATATATGAGGGTTTAGTGGCAGTTTGGTGTGAGCTCATGCCATGCGACAAGGGCCATGGTCATGAGTCGCTAGAACCGTATCCTAGTGGTATCGGGTCACTGTTCGTAGAGCGTTGTTACAGATGCTATACTTAGCTTTAATATTAGATACAAGGGTAAACTAGCCCTGTATAACCTTAGAGTCCTTGCAGAGGGCTTACTTGTAGTTATACTTGTAATTAAAAACTATTTTAAGCTCCTCCTAACACAAAACAAACATTCTAGCCTACCTTAAGCTAACAGGGGCTAAACTGCGCTCTTTTCGCAGAGAATTGGCCATATCAGCCACAGCTGCGAGCTAGGGGGACTCTCCTTGCTAGGCTGGCGGAATGGGTATACTCCAACGTCCTTCGTGGGTACCCCCCAAAACCTTATCAATAATACATGGATTCTAGCGAACTAGGGCTGAAAAGAAAGAGAAAAACCACCTCTATATTTTTGTAGTAGAAGGTTTTGTTATAACTATTAAACTGCACAAGCTAGAGGCTAGAAAACGTCAAAAAAGGGGGGGTACCTAGCGAGCATACCCATTAATAGGTATACTTTGCTAGGTAGTGTTAATAACTCAGCTAATACTAGGCGGAATTAGCTAATTCTTTTTTTATTAGAAGGCGCAATACTAGGCGCTTCTATCGAATAATAGATTATGTAAGCGTATCTCTGCTAGTTAAGAAGCTATAAGCCAAAACGTAAAAAAGCATACCCTACCCATCCGCCAGCCTACTCCTTGCGTGACCAGCTTAATTATGTACGCAACAACTACCTGCTCTTTAGCAGTGGTCAGATTCTGTGAATTGGCTATAGTATTAACGCGTGAAGGTTGTCCAGTAAGTTAGTTATGTAGAGTTGTTTAGGGCGCGTTGTAGAGAGCTGTAGCGCGTCTTACTAAGAGATTAGGGTCTTGTTAAAGAGCTAGTAGCGCAAGCTGTATCTAAGCCTCTTTAGACGCGTCTATTTGACGTGGTTGTGGAGGCATTGGTGTAGAGTTGATGTTTTGGTGGGGTCTTGGCAAAAGTGGGCGACTCGCCCTACACCTACGTTACATGTGCGTTATAGCAGACTGAATATCTGCTTTATTTAAAAGTAATCAAGTAACATTGGGTGAAGCCATTGTACGTCCAGATGGGAGAGGTACGCAAAGTTGGTGGGGTGCGTCACTCACTTATACGCGTGACTCACTCACTTGTAAAGCACGTTAACTTCTTTGTAACTTGTTTAACAACGTCTATTTAGTTACATTGTTCTTAGCAAGTTTATTTACCTGTTGTATCTTCAGCGCTCATAGCTGCGCCCTCTTTTGCCCTCCCATCAGCATACTGCTGGAAATGCCTAACTGAGATCTTCTGCTTGTAGAGCCAATCTACTTCCTCAGTGGTGAAGCCTTTAAGGTCTGGTACCAGGAACCAAGACCCAATCAGCAAAAGCACAGAGCTGCCCATGAATACGAAGCCAGTGCGGGCGCCAAGGTTGCCCGCGTCGGTATTGTACATGTATGGCACCGTGAAAGTGAACAGCCATGTCGTTCCGGCACTCGCCATGACACCGATGGATTGTGTCTTCGCTCGCAAGCGGTACGAGGACAACTCGGCGGTGATGACCCAGCCTATCGAAGTTATGGTGAGAATCTGCCACGCAATGAGGACATTCCTGCACGTGTTGGTCAGTCATTGTGATTCTGTCGGGGAGCGCCTCTTTCTGCAACACAAAGCATCAACTCACATCAGAATAGCAATTGCCCACAGACTGCCTTTAGCGGGTGAGTAATCCAGGGCACCAATTATTGCCATGACGACAATGTTGCCTCCTACACCCGCAAGCCATAGTGAACGACGACCGAATTTCTCCATGTAGAACCAACTGAGCACGATCGCAACAACAGCGAGACCGAAGCCACCAATACCGACATCGAATCCATGAATTGCTGGAAGTCCAGCGATAATCAGAAAGTATATGTTCTGAGATAGGAGGGCCGCGCCGTTGAGTCCGGTGGCAAGGAATAGCCAGATGACCGTGAAAGTTCGCTTGAAGTTTGTACCACTGAACAGCTCCAGGTAGCTTGCGTCGCCGTGTGCCTCTGACTGGAGGCGTTCTTGGTCGACCTGCTTACGAATTACAGCAAGACGTGCGTTAATGTGGTTCTGAGACCCATACAGACGCTGAAGCGCTTTCTTTGCGGCGTCAATCTTGCCTCTCTGTACTAGGAAATTTGGTGACTCAGGCATGACGAGGAATGCAAGACCAGCAGCGGCGGGCCAGATCCATTGCAAAGCGAACACCATACGGAAGGCGTGGGGTGTGAGGTTACTGATGTAAACACGAATCGTGATAAGGCCAATTGCTTGCATCAAGACCATGAAGAGGACGATACTAGACTGCATAGGACCGCGAAGACGCAAAGGCGAGATCTCAGACGCCCACGCCGTTGCTGAGGCAAAAATGCAGCCAATGGCGAAACCGTTGATCATTTTGCCACCAAGAAGCATGCCTCGGCTGGTAGCGGCGAATTGTACCCCAACGCCGACAATGGAGATACATGAGGCAGCAACACACGCCCATTTCCGCCCGATGCGGTCAGAGACGAATCCAATGCCAAAACCGCCAATGGCTTGTAGAAGGTACGACATGGCGGTCCACAAAGAGGCCCAGATGGATGGGACGAACAACGAGCCGGTTGCCGTGTGTTCGCCAAAATAGAGGAGAAAGGCAGGCATGGACAACGAGGCCCCATTGATGACGCTGTCGTAGCCAAAGACTCCTCCAGCCAGAAGCGCAGCGAGAGAATGGGCCAAGATCCGCTTGTGTGACATGGCCGAAGCCCAGAGGGATTGGTCGCGCTCTTTCTCGATAAGGCTCTCGCCGAGCTGAAGGTCGCTGTCGTTGATAACATCCTCGATCATGGTGGCACTGCAGACCTCCTGCTTCTCGACTTCGTCCTTCATCGTCTGCATGAGGAGTGTTATTTCTGACTGCGAACGTGTGGAGCGGTCGATAGAAGTCGTCGTTGAGCTGGAGCCTTCGTCGCAGGGTGCTGGCGTTCAATGATGGAGACAAAAACACGGCCCGGATCCGACATATAATAATGTCGCGCCAAGGACCGGCTGCGGAGATGAAACCTGGGGTAGCTTAGTGTGGAGTCGATACCTGACGGGTGCTTAATCTGGTTCCGGATCATGACGCGTTGGGGGTGGACGGGCTCGTACAAAATCGTACAATCCGCCGAGCATTGGCCGTTCTGCCAAACGACGCGTAATACCTATTGTGTAGATTTGGAACCGGACACCATCCACGCTCGTTTCTCTTTTGTATGGTGATTGGCTTTGGCCCACCTCATGTGACACTCAATCGCTTGCTGTTCGCCTGTAGGGTCAGCGTTGCGCCTTCATAGCTCGTGAAGAGAGCAGTGATAGTGTCACAGTTGCAATCGATCGCTCGGGGCCTTTTCTTTGGTCAATTTCATGCTACAGGGGTCTCGAACATTGGAACACCCACTTCCGCCCCCCTTGGCGAAATTGTGCATGTGTGCGGACGGGTGCGGTGTTAATTGCCTCTGGCCGATTAGAGGTCAGGATCGACAAGGTGGACGAGGCGATTGTTCTGGCTAACAGGCTCGTGATTTCAGGCGGAGGTGGTGCGCTTCCTACTAGCCATGTACTTCCGTGGCTGTTACAACTTACGAATGTCGCTGTAAGCAGTCATACTCCGATCTGGAGACTCTGCCGACACTACCACGGCGGCTCCACTGAGGTGCTTAGCCCCTCACTGGCGATTTTGTTGGGTACAGATGTCCTTGGAGATGACCATGCAGATGTGGGCGAAGTGGTCCTTCTTCGTCGTCAAATACGAGTGGCAACGCGGCACAGACGACTGCGAAGGTGTCAGTTTGGCGCAGCGAAATGGTTCCGAATATCAAATCTACCAGAGATCCCGGCATATTTGGATCTCGAGCACAATAACTATGTCTCGACCGAACTTGGTGGCCCGAAAAGTCACTTGCGCGGTCAGGTTACGCATGTCTAGAGGCAGTGGCGTGTGAGCTGCCGCAACATCGCCAAATTTAGGTGTCCCGGCAGTGGCTGGAAGTTGGAGCGGTCTTCGGTCCGACATGAGGTGCGCCCAGTAGTTAGTGTGCCTCGCGGCTCGGCCACGTCGTGCTTTCAATGCCTATCAGCTTTTCTTTGATTGGTCACCGGTGTGACTAGTCGCCGCTCGCTGTCCAGGCGTTAGGTAACTCGCCCTTCTTCCTCTTGACATTTTTATGCGAAGATAAGCCATGGTGGCTTTTCGTGATCGAGAACTAGCAGGAAACGGCAGGTGACTATGGCCAGAGACAGGTTGAGAGTCTCTCCTATAGTAGATATAGATGTGCAGGACTGTAATTGAAGACCGATGGAGGGAGAGGACGGATAGGTGTTTGTACTATCTACCAGTGCCTCTCTTAAACGTAGGTCGAAGTGCGGCAGGGGGAGCCCGACGTTCGTTTGTTTCTATTTATATGACTTCTGCACAAACGGCTCTCGCGTAGTAAAGATATTGGCCTCGACACCAAATCTTTGTAGCTCTCAGAAAGCCTGACAAATAGTAAACGGTGCATGTACAGACCCTGGATCATCTCCCGCGCCGGTTTACAGCAGGTCTCATTGTCGATTCTTCCAGCTATCTGAGAGTAATTTTCATCCAGATACACCAGGATGCAGATACAGTAGCAACGCTAGGTTTGAAGATGCGCCCCAGGTCCCCAGTTGCACCAAAGACTGGATGGCGTGCCTGAAAATAAGCTGTGGTGCATCGATTGTACCATCTACTTTGCCTCTCCGTAGGAACCCGGCTTCAAATACCTCCAACACTGACTGCAAGATGTTTTGACTGCCTTGCAGTTGAAGAAACATGACTTCTTTCTGATGGAGTGTAGCAACATGCGCGAAAGACCAGATGACGATGTGGCACAAAAATAATCCGATCAGATCGTAAGGGCCGCTCTCGCCTTTGTTGGCTAAGATGATGCTGATGCACTTCGATGCATCCTCCAAGACAGTCGCTGCTTGTTCCGGACACTGGTCAATCCATGCCCCCAGTCTAATCATCGCGGTCTTTGAGTCCGCTGGCCCCGATCTTCCGAGACAGTCTTGAATTTCGGAGACTGGGAAGACCAAGTAGAGTCGAGCTAAGTAGTAGGTGATCGTTGAACATTGCTGGAGGTTGGTCGAAGTTGTATCAGGACGACCAGTCTGGTGTTCATTATACGAGCTGTGCCAAATGTCTATCATGTTGAGTAGACATGCTGCATGGCTGCTGCCAAGGGAAGAGCTTGTCAGCAGCGGCGGATCTTCTTGGTATGTTCTGAGGACTACAAGCCTCTCTTGGTAATGGAAGACCTCCGACATGATCACGGTCATGAGCAGATTCGCGCTCCATGTGTTAACTGTAGGGAGAAGGTCGTGGCTAGCTGATGGGCCCGGCGCTGAGAGAAGTAATGCAGTCAATGACCCAAACACGGGACAGGATGGCTCTGAAGCAGATCCCAGACGATTCTTCCAGGACTTTGCAGTCGCTACCGCCCAAAACTCTTCGTCACAGGGACACTCCCATTTACGTATGTCTGCGAAGGTCAACATGCCACTCATGCCAAGAATGGCTGGGAATTGAGAGTCGATCATGTACACAAACCACCGCAGTCTCTTTTGGCTTTCCTGTGTCCGCCAATGCAACCATTGCGACTGTAATGTTAAGGAAGCATTTACACCCGCTGCTGCGCTGACAGGTCCGTAGGCGTCGGCTGCATGTCCTTGAAAGTTCTCATGAGCCCGGTGGCGGTGGTCCATTGGTAAGCGCCTGATGTAGGTCACCACGACAGGACGGAGTGCTTCCGCTAACTCAAATGCACGCTTGTTGCCACACCAAAGGCCCATGTAGCATACAAGTGCTGTTGCGTAGATGATCAGCGGTTCCCGCATCAGGCTGTTGTCGTCCTCTATCGAACATAGCAGGTTTTGTCGCGTGCGGTCGAGGACGATAATGCCGAATCTACGCGTATGCCGTAAGCGACTATAGCACGAGCCGATGACCATCATGATTGCTAGGAGGGCTGAAGGCAGGCTTTCGACGATGACGGTTTGGCGGTGCAGCACCGGTGCCTGAGGCGTAAAATTATCGAAAAACAGACTGATAAACACATTGACCAGAGGGAGCTCCGGTATGATGAACGTGTCCTCGCCGCTTGAGGGTCGTAGCGGGCGCAGGAATTCCTCAACACGTGATAGTGTAGCCTGAGACACGCTGACCTTGTGGTCGATTTTGGCAAATATTGGATCGTCAGTGGAGAGCACGATGGGCTTTGCCCTTGCTATACGCTTCGATCGTGGGTCCCATGCGAATGGCAGGCGATCTTCATGTGACGATTCATTTGGCGGTGATGCGACTCCAGAGGTTCGACGCAGGAGGCCTTCGGCAGGCTCGTCCATCAGAGGAGCGGCGGCTTGCAAATCATGTGAAGGCTCAGGCACACTCGATAGTGATCCACCGACTTCATGCGAAGAGAAGTTAGACGAAGGAATGACATTGTGATCGAATATACCTAGCATGTCCATAGCGGTAGTGTCATGATTAACGGAGGTCCATGTCTGAAAAGGTGGACTGTATGCGAGATCTGTCTCACGCAGAGCTGCAAAGAACTGAGACGATAACCAATCAGACGTATCGACAGTGTGATCGAGGTGATAATTCCAAGGCCTCGCAAATGTTGTGTAGTCAAAGTAGGGATCGATGTCTACGGGGTCGGTCCAAGAGCCGAGCATGGCGCCCTGATCAAGCTGCGCCGGCTCACCCTGTGTCTGTCCAGAATCATGCAGAGGCTCTACGTACACGTTTGAAGCGATGCTCTGACCATCTAGGGAGATAGTCTTCGGCAAAGTGGCGTCCATCGTCGCCGAAGGCGACTCGTTACCAGATGATTGGCTCCTGAATGGCCACCGACGGTGTGTTTTCGAGATACCTCGTTCGTGCAGCAATTCATGCTTCTTTCGCAGATCACTTCTTGTGAACTGTCGTCCGCATGTTTGACATTTGTGTTTTTGTATTTGATCGTCTTAGTATCCGCAGTCTGTGTCAGCGATAATCACGTGAGGCTCTTGAGCAGCCGAAAGCGTCAGCCGCAAGCTACGATTCCCGAAAATGAGAAGGGACTCTACCAAAATTTGCTGATATATCGAATTTCAATAGGCCGCTGAAGGCTAGCTTGATTCTGCTGCTGCCGCCGACTTTCCCAGCTTCTCGAAGATTGTGGGAAGTGCTTGACACTGGACAGGACTCACGCGTTTTCATGTGACGAGCCAGATTTTCTGGGCGCGTAAAACGCTTCTCGCATTGCTGACACGCCAGGGCCTTTGCATTGTTCGCGATGTCTTCGTCAGGCATTGATGCACTCTGTGTAGGGCTGGAGCGTGGGGTGGGGAGCGGGTGTTGTCAAGTGGACAGTTGACAACGAGGCAGGGCCAGTCCACGGGCCAGTGTCACGCTAAAATTCCCACTAGCCAAGCCAACTGAAGCAGCCGACCGGCAAACTCCGGACGTCCACCTTGTACACCGCGTTACGAGCCGCTTGTTTCCCCACACTGCACGCGCATCCGGGGACGCCACATCGGTGAAAGAATTTATGCGGACGCGCTGGGTACTATGGGTATGTTGAAGTCGCGTCGGACTTTACCTCTTCGGTGGCGCTTCCTCAAAAGAGTCTTCGTACCTACACTTTTGCTTTGATCGCGTTCCTCAACACCACCATGTCTACTAAGCCTGTAATTCAGCCTGTGAGTATCTTGCGGTACGCTGGACGTGTCGACTTTGGACCAGACGCATCGACTTTCACCCTAGAGAACGATGGAGACGAATCTGCTCGAGCCGAGGTTATATTGGACTACAAGCGATGTGAAGGGGGGCTACCTGTCTTCATTATCGATTCGGCTTCAGGACCAGACTCCGTTGATGTCGCTGTGGTGTACAGTGAGGGCATCGAGGGCATTGATCATGCCACAGGTACGGATGGAGAGTACCCAATTACTCGTGACATACTGACGACAGCCAACAGGTGACGGGCCTTTCTTCCTCTTCTCCAACGCAATGGACACATACCGCAGCACCACCTTGAACGTACGCGCCTCGTCATCTACGCAGACAATCAGAGCTGTCTACGCGCAGCGATCGCAGCGATACCAGAAGATTGTTCTGTCTTCCCCTAATTCAGCCGTCTCGTTTAAAAGGGTCGGTTTCGAGCAGGTTCGGCCCAGTTATGTCACAAAGTCCATGTTCGCCTGCTCCAGCCCCCTGTTGAATCAGATCTGGCAAGACGGCGTCAAGACTGTAGATATGTGTACAGTTGCAAAGGGCGAGACTTCCTCGGCTTGGGAAGTCACTCAGGAGGGCACCATTGTACGAGGCCAACACTGGGCACCGTGTCGACAAGGCACACGGTGGGCGGACAAGAGGGTGCATTTCCAAGTGCAGATCGAAAACGGAGGTGCAAGTTGGGCTGTCCACATGGTTGCCAATGGCCTGATCTTCTGCTTGGATGCAGCTGAGAGAGTGCTTTACGCATGCGAGGGCCTTTCTACCGAGTCCACGATCTTCCCTGTTGCAGAGAAAGGCAGGTGGCCGATAGGTGATCTACAACTGGAGACATGGCTTGATGTTGAGACAGTCACCTACGGCGACACTGTTACTGTGTCGATACAAGGTCGTCAATTAGCTCGCGTTGAGGGCCTCGACATCAGACCCATCCTCGGCGGTAGTGCGAACAACACTGGCTCTGTTGCATTCGGTGGTCCCTGCCAATGGGTCGCCATGTATCGCCACCTCAGCGTGCATGATCCTGCAGACAAGGCTCTTTACGAGAACACTCTACTACTCACCGACGAGCAGCGAACCCTGGCAGATTTCCAGGTTGGTACCAATGCGCTGGCCTGCACGATCGATGGTGCAAAACGAGACCGAGCCTGTTTCGGTGGAGATCTCTACGTCATGGGCCAATCGATTGCACACTCAAGCATGGCGTTCGAAGCCGTTGCAGGCAGCATCGAGTTATTAACAAGTCATCAGAGCAGCGACGGTTATCTAGGCAATCTGTGTCCGATTCAAGCGCCGGTCCACGACAGTACTGGAGAGCCCCCGACCTATGCCTTCTACTCGTTATCCTACGCACTTTTGCTTGTTGCTGCAATTCGAGACTATTGGTTACAAACTGGCGATGAAAAGACGCGGTCGAAATGCTATGAATCGTTGGAGAAGCTGATGGCGTACGTTGATCAACACATCAGCGAAGGTGTTGTCATCGCGCCTCCACCTCTGTCCAGTAAGTATTTAATGGACCACCAGATTGCTCAAGCTGACGATCTATAGTGCACTGGTTCCCACTTGGCGGGCCCGTTTTCGGCGCTTCTGGTGCGCTGAACAACGTATACTACGAGGCACTTCAGGCGATGATGGTTTTAGCTAACGACTCTGCCACCAAGCAGAAGTATCAAGTGCGGGCTCACCAGCTCAAAGCCGGCATCTTGCGACATTTCTACGACCCTTCCACAGGAATTCACCATTTGGACAACAGCCTTCCATCCAATGGCATCTGTCAAGACGTCAAGGCCCATGCCATGACTTTAGATCTACTCCCTCCCCACACTGATGATATAGAACACTTGACAGATCCGGAATCTGGGCTACCTCGCGCGTTCCGCGGACTTGGTCACTGGGATGTGGCAAATGTTGCTAGTCCTTATGCAACAGGCTATGCAGTCGAAGCTTTGTTCTCGCGGGACCGAGGTGCGGAGGCCATTAAACTCATCGAGCGAGTATGGGGCCCCATGGCTGATACTACGAGCCAAAACTATTCTGGGGGCCACTGGGAAGCCATGAAGCCAGATGGAACACCACATGGCCACGACACCTCACTTATGCATGGCTGGTCAACATGGCCTGTATCACTCATGCCTCGGTATTTGGCCGGACTGCAACCAATCGAACCTGGCTGGAAGTTCTTCAGCGTTGCGCCAGTACTGTCTGGTTTGAAGAATATCAAATGCGTGATGGAGACAGTTGCCGGCACTGTTGGCGTGGAGCTCGAGATCGATGAGATTGATGGTCACGGTGCACTGAAAGTGCTTGCACCTTACGGCATACGTGCGCGGCTGCAGTCGCCTCAAGGCTGGATCATCCAAGGACCTGAGGTGATCGAAGGGACGGGAGTATGGCAGAAGTTCTTCTTGTCTGAAGACTCGAATGACCAGGACCCGTCCGCGGAAGAGACAGAACCCAAACACCTTGGTTCTCCAGAGTCACAATCTAGAACACGCGAAGGACAAGAGAGCAGCCTACCCAGCAGGATCCGCTCGCTGCTGTCGCGCTTTTCTGCTATTCGCGCCTAGACTTGCGGTGTCAGGAGCAACCCAGAACTTTTGTCACGGTGCTGGTGGTCTAATTCTCATTGATCCTTCTCGAAAACGTGGTGGCGCGTTTCGCTAATTGTCGAGGCGAGCAACTCCCACGCCTCTCAAATCGCAAATAGTTGCGAGGATGGCCCCGGAAATCTATGAGCTAAAGTTCGAAATTATGAAAAGATCATCGATGCCTAAAATGAGCAAAGCTGGACGGAAGACCATGCATTACCTTTTACTTCTTCTGCATCAATCTGGCCCGACAGGCATACTATGGGTCAGATATCTTGTAATTGGACGACGACTCGGGTAATTTAGGAGACCGATTGGACGATGCGAGGCAACGCCGCACGCGAATCTCCTTATCGCCTAAAAGTCCAAGCTCCTTCTTAGGCACCGATCGTCACGTGTAGCCTCACCGATTAAACAAATCTCAAAGCCAGATTCACCTCAGACATAACAACAATAATTGGGAGCGATAAACACAGATGAAGTTTCATCTACCTAGGTCTAAGAATGCACACATACTCACTTCACTCAGTTCCTACAGAAGTGAAACGGGACATCCTCTTCTACCAGCATACGAGCTCGACCTTGCTGGAAGGTTTCTTATCGATATGACAACAGATAGCTAAGATGGTTTCCCAGCGGACCAAAGAGCCTGATGCATTGACTCGGCGGTCAAAATGACTCTTCTCGCATACTGGAGTCGTTGCGGGTACATTCATGATGGAACCTGCACGCAGGTCAGTTGTGTTGCCAGTGGGTCACTGGCATAGAACTCCGCCCTCTTCCGGAGTGAGAACTTATTCACAAGATCAGGTTCCAGGAGTTCACAATAAACTCTCTGGTCTATGAGCAAATATTCTCTGGTTGGATAACGAACCAGGGGCAAAAAAGAACGATATAAGGCAGATCCCACATGGATTCCAGTTAATCGTCAAAAGGGCCCAAGTTGAATACTCAGGCACGAAGCGTTACCTGCATCCTCATAGATCCTATGGGCCTAACGAAGCTCACACCCGATCTAACACCCAATCTGACACCAATCAGAAAGCAAGCTCCTAGTGACGGAACAAAAATCAGAATGTAGTCTCATCTTACCAAGATCCTCGTTCTCTCATCGCTACCACCTTTCACAATGTGGTGTTGCAGTGATGCCCTAGTCTTCTGTGTAGCTACCACATGTTGCAGAGGGGTAGAAGGGTTTTCATTGACTCCTTTATCCCAATATGTGTGCCATTAGATCGCACACATTGTTTAACTGCAAATGGCTAAAAACCATTGTCTATATTAGCTCCTCTTCACGCGAGCGCTATCAAACTCTACCTGCACTTGACTCGTGCCACTGACGATACAGCGGCGCCATATCCTTCCCGCGGCCCAGCGTGTACGACATCCGATCAACCTCCAGCTCAGCCCACCGGTCGAACGAATCACTCTTCTCCACCTTAATCTGCTGCACATAGAGCTGCTTCACTCGCCCCGCGTGAGGCTCTCCATTGAACCCTTCCTGCTTTCTCGGCCTTTTCTCGGCGATGTCAACCCCCTGTGTAACCACGTGGCTCAGATCACATGATATCCTATTGTAGCAGGCACTGCCCGGTGGGCAAGTGCACTTACCTGAGAGCTGAGAGCTTGAACAACACAACATCACACAACACGACAACAGATAGCAATACACTCGTTGATCAAAGTCTCCGACCGACACTGCTCACGCAGTTACACCCTGCGACGGCGCGTGCATCGTTCACACCAAGTATTCGACGTCCTCACAGCAGTGGCTGTCTCTTGTGCCTCCACTTTTACTTTATGTAACTTCTTATTTGCCATCATCTACTTTAGTCTTGCATGGCAGCGTGATCCGCGCGATCTTCCGCTTGCGCCATCTCGGTGTCTCGTGTTTTGCGTTTCTAGTCGCGCCGTTCGCTGCGAGCGCTTAGCATCCATATGGGCCCGCCGTGGTAATGCACATAGCCCCAGGCGATACAGAAAACGGCAACGAGGGCGCCGGTGCCGACGACGAAGCCTTTGGCTTCTTTGGAGTAGTGAGAGGAATTCGGAGGGAGGTACAAAGGCTTCCATTGTAATTATCTGTGTAGAAGGGCTGTGACGAGTCGTGCTTTAGTGTGGTGGAAGAGTTAACTGTTGAAGATATTGCGGGGAAGATAGAAATACGGTGCGAGTTTTTACAGCCACGTGAGAAGCAGGCATGATCGATTCGGCTTCATACATTGTGCAGCGACGGTTGGAGGATATGTTTTGGAACAATGTAGTGATGCTGCGACATGGATTCCGGACCTTGTTCAAGCATTCGCTAGTCAATCTATACGCAGACGATGTGTCTGATTGCAATGCAATTTCTTCTGAAATTTCACTGGAGTAAACATTCAACTATTTCATCATCGATTTCCAATCTGTGGAAGCTGAGCAGTCTCTGATCGTTGATCAAGTGTGAAGAAAGTGATCAAATTCCTTGTTCTATCTACAGTGCTGAATGAGCAGAATATATACACTAATACTGATCCAGCTATACCCTGATTGGATTCCTAATCACGGCTCCAAGCTGTACCCAATTCTGTTCACCATGGCGTGGTAGATCGCCAGTGTCTGATCGGTCCAATATCCAGATGCAGATCACGTGATATGCACCCTCACCTCGATCCTTGCTGCGACACAATCCGATTGTGTAGCTACAATAGTTCACCATGGGGGTTCTGCATCATGATGACAGATTAAACAAACAATTTTGTTGTCGTCCGCATTCCAGGTATCATCCATAGAAGTCTGTGCTGTTGTAGTATGCTAGGTAGATAAGTTTGCGCATGAGCTCAACATTCAAAGGATATGCCAAGTGCCAGACTCAGCTAGAAATCAAACGCAGCCCAAAGATACTCGACTGTTCGCTCAATCGCAACGCTGCGCTGCAAGGATGCTGAAGCCAGCAATGGCGGGATTTTGAGACAAGGCTGCGTTTCTTTACTGTCAACATCACAAGGCTGCACAATCACTATTACATGCAGCACCAATACGTCTTACATAAAAGATAACCGCTACATGTTCTCCCATGCTAAGTCATGCTAAGATGGTAATACCAAGTGACTGACCTTCTTGTGTTAAGATCCCTAAGATTTTGATGAAGCACAAATTTACGTGGGCAGCTCTTGAGAGAAATACATACCATACTTTGTCACCATTGGGACGATTCAACCGCTGATGTACAGGTTTTACTCTACGTATGGCATCGCATTAAACCAAGGTTCCAATGAGCTGTCGATCACGTCGCCCTCTCGGTATTAGCCACACGCACGATGTTTTGATATACGCCTGTGGCACCACGCACCATATGGTATCACACCACAGTTCTAAAGTTAGGTAGTGAAGGCCCAGAGGGCGATTTTGAGAATGCCAAAGATGACGATCATGGTTATCACCTCTTAGGGGAAACTATCAGAATGGTTGACTTGGAGCTCGTGATTTCCCATATTAGACGTTCGTTAGGGAGTTTTATGTGGGATATAAGACGTATCAGTAGTGGACCTGTGTCTCTGTGAGGACACAGTTGCTATGGTCGTGGAAAGGTGATTGTGGGAAGGCTTTGGCATGCTCATGTCTGTCAAAACCCTCCAAAATATTATTGTGCAACCCCGCTGTGGCATCGTGGCTAAGATACCGTCGATGAACTGTGGTCAAGTACAGCGGTACGTACGACCTGGCGATATACATAAGTGCCGAATATTACGCATTTCCATACATGGTGTCTCACTCAATGGCTGTGTCTGCCGAATGTGTAATTAGGACAAAAGAGAGTCAAATGAAGTCAAACTCCAGTAAATTTTCTAGCTATACTGTCTTGTTCTAATCGTACCGCCCGTCCCTCTCCCAGCCCCCCTTAATTCGTCACGACTCGGTCTCCTCCCTTCATTGAAAGGTCTCGAATAACTATTAGACACACTTTTAGCCGTCAGCTGCATCTGCAAATCCATCGGAGGGGCTGGTGGTGGAGGAAATAAATCAGCCATTGTAACACCATGAGTCTTTGGCGGCGATCCAAATAGTAGTGACGACCCAACATAGCTCTGATGTAGATCACGAAGTCCTGGTGGTATGGGCGAGTTCATTGGGTCGATGATATCTGATGATGGACGGCCTGATCTGATCTCGGCTCGTTCCGGTTGGTAGCCGGCTGGTACGCTGTAGTGGTCTATGCTGTCACCTACAGCGGAGGTATATTTATATTGATAGTCTGCTGTCTTGGGGTAGACTCTCTCGTCGAGGTCTCTTTGTTTGGCTGGCGAAAGGAACGGATTCTCCCTGAATTCAGCCGAGGGCTGAGGACTGACCCGGCGGGGTCTTTCGAAGTCCATGAAGTGCGGGGCACCTTCTTTGCGTACATTGAATGGTGTGCTGATCGTTTCGTCCGCGAAACCCTTGAGCTCTTCTGTGTTGCGCTGCACAAGTTGTGAGCGATCAAGATCGAGATGTGGCGGCGCGTTTAAGCGGGTGCCACCGAACCCGAACATTGCGATCGAGTTCTTGCGAGGATTCGTTCCGGCTTCGACTATAATCATTCGCTGCACACCGGCTTTCTCGCGCTTGGCTATGTGCTGCTCGAGCCATGTGCGGATGCCAACCATCCCTCCTGCAGTGATCTGCACCATCAAAAGGACACCCATGAGTCCCGCAACAAAACTTGAGGTAAGCACTGCATCGACGATACAGAGCGAAATCGAACGCAACGTAGAGAAACCGTTGATGAAAGTGATCTGGCCGAGTGTAAAGACAAGCTGGACGAGAATACCACTAACCAGGTAGATCCGTTGATCAGCGGACTTGAAGAGCGCAAACGGCGCCTTAATGCCAGAGAAATTGGCTGGCAGAGGGTAAATAGCCTCTGAGCGGAGTCTGACAACGGTGAAACCGACAGTGGGGAGCACCAGAATGAGAGCAATGAGACCAAAAACCTGCAATCCGTCAGCATAAAAATATAGATCTTGTCATGCACGCGCATACACCATGACCATCCCTGAAGTGTCGCGAATTGCCCATCCCGATCATACCGAATATGATGCCAATCACAGCTGACACTCCAAACGTGATCAGTAGACCCATTCGCCACTTCTTATTCTTGACTTCGTTAACAGGGTACCCAGCCAGAACCGATAGGCGCCACACGACGCCGAGGATAAGGTATAGCGGTAATGTGAGGAGGAACGCTAACATGACGAACAAAACTATGGAAAGTCAGTGGTTGCGCTGAAACCCGTATTGTTAGGAAACGTACCATGAAGCGCCGTGAGGACTCCGAAAGGAAAGACTGGCAAGCCATTGATCGATATCTCAGCATCTTTGAGAACTATGCGAAACGTGTTACCATCCGATGTGAACTCTACAGGTCCTTGGGGCAAAGATGCCGCAACCCGGGGATCAAGTGGAATGTTCACCATGTCCGTTAGGCTTATTTTGTTCTTCTTTTGACTCACTGCGCCAAGAGTGATCGACGCAATGCCTCCAATGCCTTGACAAGTGAGCGTGTTGATAGCCATCTGGACGCCGCCCATGACCGTGGCTTCGTTGATAGCGAGTGGAAAGGTAGTGGTTGCACTCGTGTCGTTCTGAAATTGACGTGCCGTCTCTATATTATACGGGACTGATGCATGTTAGCTAAATCTTACGATTATAAAGTTTACCTACTCACCAGTTGCTGCAGCTCCTGCTGACAATTCTGCATCGCGCTTTCTGTCAGGCGATGAACCTGTTCCGTTCGCATTCTGGTTCATCTTCTTGAGCACGTCCCCGATCAAGATTGTCCCTTCTCCCATGAAGCCACGCGCAAAACCTACAGCAGATCCGTTGACCGAGTCGTTGAACTTTGTTGCTTCCAAGGCAGGCACATTTATCAATGCATTATCAGAGAAGTTGCCACTGAGAAGATTCTGGAGGCCACCGACAGAGGATAGTGCAGTAGAAATACCTTCGATGGTCCCTCGAGCAAAGCCCTCCATGACCCTGGATACATCTGCGTTCTTGAGCAGTTGTGGTGTCTTGTCTGAGAGCGTGGCACCGACAGCCTGCGGAACTGTGCTGTTGAGCAGGAAGTTGGAGATAAGATTCTGCGCCAACGTTTCGGCTACTATCGCAGTCTGCATGCTATCGCTGCTGGTGTTACTGCTTTGCACAATGAGAGGCGCAGCATTCACATCCTTGAACTGGAAGCCAATCGCCAGTCCCATGCCGATGCCTGAGCCAGCACCTGCAGCGAGTGCCGAGAGCATGGCTGGGCTCATCATGCCCCCGAGAGTACCGGTGAGATTCAAGCTACTCGAAAGGCTTGCGACATCAACGCCCATGAGGAGCGACTGGCTAAAACCTTTGGTGAACAAATTCACAGCCCCCGGAACGTCGACTCCCTGCGAGAGATCTGTGACTGTCTGCCTCTTTCCCACTGTGCCCGCAACTTGGCTCGTCTGTCCGAATCTAAGTCCTATCTTTGCTCCTTCCCCAAGACCGTTCCCCGCAGCCGCAGCGATTTGAGGTAGTTGCTGCATGAGCGAAGTGGTTATTGTGTTTCCTCCGACGCTCTTCACCACTGCTTGAAAGTCGATATTTGAAACAATTGGGGCGCTGACCCCAAGCCCCAGATTGCCTGCTACGGCTACGATGCCAGAGTCGTTAGAAGGTGGGAATTTCTCGTTCGTTAGATTCAGGGCTTTTGCAGTCGAGTTACCAATCCCAGATGCCAGGGCGTACGCAGCAGGCCCAATAGGCATATTCATCATGTTTGACTGGCTAAGACAGGGCGTGATTTGTCTTGCCAAACCGCTTCCAATGTTTTGTGCAGCGAGGTTGATACCGGTCGCGGAAGCATTGAAAGCACTGGCAACCATTGATGCTTGTGCTCTGGCGGTCATCATATCAGTGATGTTCAAACCGGTCGACGCGCCGACACTGGTCATGTCAGTCATGTCGGGAAACAAATCTTGTCAACATACCCAACACCGATACCAAGAAATAACGCCGGAGTTGCTAGACCTCCGGTCAGAGCAGTGCCCAAATTTCCCACAATTGCACTCAATCCTCCAGTAGTGTTCAGTCCCATTTCAAACAGTAGACTTTCCATGACCTGGCTCACGTCGTCCAGCGAACTGCGCTTCCGACTCCTAACATCATGCCTCTTGCGAAGTTCCACAACACTCTGACTCAGAGCATGTCCAAATTCCTGTACACCGCTAAGATCCAGTCTATGTCCAAGGTCGCTCGACGTATGTGCGATCGATTCGGTGAAGCTCAGCAAGGCATGGTGTAGTCGCGCATCGTCTTTGATGGCAGTGATGGTATCTGCCGATAAGAAGGCCGTAAAGCCTTCTGTATTTGAATTGAGGGTATTGGTGAAGACGTATCGATCGTATCCAAGTCCAGCAAAGGTGAATAGAAGCGCAGCGATTGCAAAGACCGCAAGCGGTAGGTGCCAGACTCGCTTTCCAGCGCCAAACATTATTATAAGTCGTAATGGGGTATCTCAAAAGGTCGTCAATACATGAGGTGAAGTGTTGTGGGCGAGGTGCCTGCGGCCTGCTGCGACGACAGCATTTCTAGGTACTCATGTACGGAGACATGTGCCTGTGACCAGGGGTCGATTTAATAAGTACTATATTTCAAGCGGCGGCAGTGGGTGTGGCAAGCACGCAAGGTACCTAGGTAAGGAGTGCGAAACATGCTAAGCCTCATGTCAGTGTGCTGTGCGCGAAAGCCTTATGCAAGGCATCAAAGGAGAGCTTTCAATGTCATCCATGAGTCCAATCAACAGTCAAGCCCCGCACATAGGAAGCTAATAGCGGTCAATGTGCGGCATCTTGGAAATTGCTGGTGGTGTTGAGGGACCATCAATTCGACTGATTAGTAATGAGGCGCACGACGAAATGGTATGTACGGACATGAACAAAGACCGAAACAAGACGACTGAAACAAGACAGGAGATTCTTTCAAGGTCATACGGCGTCTGCGTTTGGTGCGCGGCGTACCATTTCGGTGATGCGACAACGTTGAAACGCGCGTGCTGAACCAACACAGTAATGATTGCAACGGCAATTTGTAGTGTTGCTTGAATAACATGAGACATGTTAATAAACAAGCGAAGTAGAAACACATACCGACATTCTGCAAGCCCGTCAACGGCTATAGGTGACGTGACACGGCAGGGCGTGGCTGGGGCTTGTAATAGGACATGCAGACGTGGTAAGAGTAGGCTTTACAGAACTCCACCACGCCCCGCAGAGATTTGAAGTGTTGTGCGCATGCGCATGAACGTTTCTTCCGTTTGTAGAGTACTGGGCGAGGTCGCTCGGGTGATTATGGGTGCCGCTGTGGCTGGCTTGAGAGACGGTTATCAGTATCATCTCACACTTGTATTCGCATTTACTGAGATGCCATATCTAAGATTATTTTACCTCTACACAGAAGTCATTAGATGTGGCAGTCAGTGTTGACATCTTACCAAAGATTTGGCGAACACTAGCGCAGCTTGTCCTGTATCTTCTCCCACCAGGGCTTGCGTGCTTTCACTTCCTCTGCGTATTTCTTCCATTATGCTGGGCCCTTTGTGCCGGCGCCCGTGAATTCATATTCGTGCATAGGATTTGGCCGATCAATGCGATTGTAATGGTATTTTTTCCGTTCGTTGAAGGTCATGTCAGCAGGTCGACGAGATTGGTGAGCAGCGCCTGATCGATCCAGGCAAAGTGGCAGCAGAGGCTGCACTGAAGTAGTGGGCTTCTGCCAGGCGCTCAGCATCCCCAGCTGTCGCTGGACGAAGGCTGGCTCCGGCTTCTCGGTCGCAGGTGGCGCTGCACTTCTTGACTGCTGGCCATACCAAGGCCGCGCGTTTTCGGTGTCGTTGCTGGAACAGATACCAATCTTAAAGGCCAGCTTTAAGCAATGATTCTTTTGACGCCAGAAGTCTCACCATTATCAGCACAATCCCAATAACGATGAAAATGATGGAAACAACGGGTAAAGCTCGACTATTTGAGCTTACATGTAAACCCCCATCCAGTGTCGCAGTGCCTTCCTTCGCAGCCATGGCCGTGGCTGTTTGAAGAAGTAAGGTTGCGTGGTGTGATTCGAGACAAATCGTATGGTAGCATGGTGATGCGGTAACTGAGTTGGATCGCAATGTGCGATTTTCCTATGTTTAAGGCCCGAGAATTTAGGACCGGAGTCATAGCTTCATAGTACCTGCATTTTGGCCGCTCAAAGAGACATGTTTGTCTGGAGGTAAATGGACAGTAAGACTCGTGCACACAATGAAACAACACGCACGAATCGGCTTGATAATATTTTGTGCTGTGCGCACAATGAGATCGGGAGAGGAACGAAAAATTCCAAGAAGCAAACCATTATTGTAATGTCTAAAACAATCAGGTGGGTTGTAGTTGTGGTGGTGTGGCAAAGGCGTTGGCGTGAGGTTCTGGGCGCAGTTACCGAGACATACCGGTACCGGTACAGTAAGGCGGCATGACGCAATGGATCACGATACCACTCTTTCGGCTCTCACCCCATCTTCCTCTGTATATCATCGATTGCTGCTGTTTTTTTACTGCACACACTCGCACTCTGTCCCTATCACTTATTTAGAATCCTCTGCTCACTCACAATGGTCAGCTCGCCGCTTGAACAAGCGTACGAGAAGTACCGCTACGAGGCCCTCTTTGGCACATGGCTTCTTGTGACAGGAGCGACCTTCATGCGCATCAGGCGCCAACCCTACTCCACTCGTCTCAAGGTTGAGCAATACGAGAGCATCTTCAAAGGGACGTCACTCGGTGCCATTGTGCTTGGTATTGGCATATCGCCCAAGCGCGGAATGAGACGCGTTGCGTAGGGTCCCAAAGCAGCACAACTCACAGGGACGTACCCAACGGCCACCAGCATTGAGCCTTACAGCACCACGGCTGAACAGAGGTGGAGTCTGTAGCCCAACGGGAAGATGGAAGGCTGGCATCTACTGCTGGAAGACGCCGCGCTCTGTCGACGGGCTTGGCGTCTCCGCATTCTCACATGCTATCCACCCGCACCTACCCATCGTTCCTTCAACGCCTCCACAGCGCCCAAAGTACCCACACCATCAAAGATGTTGTTCCGCCTGGGAAAGGTGAACATCGAGCTCAACCCGTGGAATCCCCTGTATGCGGTTGCTCCATTTATCATTTTGATGGTGTCCATCCCACTTGCCATACTTGCAGTGATCACCACATCTATCGCACTCTCACTGCTAGCCTTCCGTGGCTTCATAGTTTACGCACAACTCGGCACTGTACTCTTGGGTGCATGGCTGTCTCCTAGCCCAGCGAAGCCTGTTGCTCAGCAGCACCAGCCCCCTTCGCCCGAACGAAAGTCCCAACCGCGCAACCGCAATCGACGAATCAGCAGCAACGGCAGTGGAACATCACAGGACACGGCCGTGCCGACTGCCCATCTTGGGCCAAAGAGTGGATCTTTCACATATCTACTTGGTGAAGGAGGACTCACACGAGACTACGAGGGCGTGGGTGGCTGGAGGGATACAGGCAATGAGGACGAAGAGGCATTGTGGATGGGTATCAACTCTAGGCTGCAGCTACCAGCTGCACCAACTGGTCGCCGGCATCAACGGAGGCATACGGGCGGACAACAGAGCCCAAATCAGCGTTGGAGCTGGAGCCCTGAGGCATTCCGTATGAGCCCTGTGCAGAGCAGGGCTAGGACGCCGAATCGAGTCGTTGCCATCGAATGTGACAACGGCGATTATTTCCCAGCACAGCCTAAGAATGGTGGACGTCCAATCAGTACTGCATCTGACCCCTTGAAGAGGCATGGTCGAAGGCTGAGTGGGAGTGGCAGCAGCATCACAAGTGTAGCTTCGAGCATGATGGCACCCGTGAAGGAGTCTGGAGAATGAACCCTCATATAATCATGGCAATTGACGTCCTTTTTGGTCACCACCACACGCATCAGTCACACTGACACGTACACAGCCCGTGAAGATGGACGCTCTTAATTGCTTCCCAGAGCAGAACCATTCTTAAGATACTGACTTCCCTGCAGTATCTCGCCGTTGAATCACTACATAGCCTGTCCACAACCTACCAATTGCCTCATTGCTTGAGCTGAAAGAGCTATCCACGCATCAATGACACTACTGCCCCGTGACGAGCAGTCCCACCACGAGACAGTGACATACGTTGCGACCAGTCTGCTCTTCCTCTTTGGCATTGCGATCCTGGCCACTGCCATCTGGTCTATCTCAAATCCAGACGGGTATGTCCACCGCATACTGCACCGCGGCCTTCCTTCTTGTCACGACTCGTTCAAAAGAACCACCCTACTTCCGCCGCGGCCCATATTCCTAACGTTCCCCCCACCCACCCAGTACCCTCTCTATAGATTCCCTCGAATTGGCGTTCGTGAACAGCGACTGCGATTGGCGTATCCAGGTTCACGTGCGTAGGACAACACATGAACTAGGCCTTGTTCTGTGCGAACATTTGCGAATTACTATTTAACATCTCATAACGTTAACGTACTCTATCACCGAGCCGGTCATATCACCAAACCGGTCACTTAAAATCCCACCAAAAAACACAGAAACCATACCCCTGCATCTCAATAACTACTTAATAGAATCTTCTAAAAACTTCAGAATAGAGCTGCATCTATACTAATAAGACTGTTTGAAAGTCTTAGAGTGCTTAGCCCTATATTGCAGATGTTGTTTAGAAGATACTAAAATACAGGGGTAGCTGCAGGCTATCTTAACATCTATACTAGCTATTAGTCTAAGACTTTTAAATAGTTTTATTAGTATAGATGCAGCTCTATTCTGAAGTTTTTAGAAGATTCTATTAAGTAGTTATTAAGATGCAGGGGTATAGTTTCTGTGTTTTTTGGTGGGATTTTAAGTGACCGGTTTGGTGATATGACCGGCTCGGTGATAGAGTACGTTATCCATAACGTGTTTTACAAGCGAGTGGCCCGTACAAGCGAATGGCCCACCCCACCAACTTTCTGCGCCTCTATAAGTGTACAGCTCAGCCACCTCTTAAGATAATAGATATGTATTAACAGGGTAGATTAAGCAGTAACGTAGATTATCACCGAGCCAGCCATATCACTAAACTAGCCATTTTCTCTTAGCATAACTAACATAAGTTACTATAACTACAACTACTTGCTATTAAATAGTAACCTAGCATACTGTATACTTATATTAGATTTAGAAGATATTTTTATACCCTCCTAGCATATTTATATATTATGTCTAGTCTTGCTATAGTTCCTACAGCACTAAACAGTTAACTAAGCTTATAGTTAACTACCTCTACCCTAAGTCTTCTTAGATAGCTAAGCTGCTACAGACACCTTAGCAGCTACCTATAATGCTGCTAGGCTATACTTAAGTGTGCTACTATACTAAATCTACTTTCTCTTACACAATTTTCTCTTAGTTATTACTACTAATTACTCTTTAAGCTCTTGTATATAGGCCTTAATAAGGATATTTTTATATAGTATCTCTTTAGCCCCTTTTATAAGCTTTAAGAACCCTTCTTATACTATACTTAGTAATTATTAGAAGGAGTTACTTATAAGCTTAGATTAAGACCTAAACTTGTCTATATTGCTTAGTATCTTAGATTACTATAGTATTTAAGGTAGAGGTACTACTAGTAGGGTATGCAGCTACACTTTAAGGTAATCTAACACTACCTAACGTAGTTCACAAGCGAGCGGTCCAACCTAAGCGAGTGGTCCACCTAACAGAGTTAAGATAATTGCAATGGATATGCTGCAACACCACCACCACTTACTGCAATTTGCAGGTGATAGAGATACTATTTAGACTCGTCGCTATTAGATACATCTACAATTTTAACTGCACAGGTGTGAGTGTTGTAGCTAGTCTCTCTACAACGTCTGCAACGCCTCTGTGTGCGCACCTTCTTTGCAGGCTCTCCGCCCCCCTGCTACCTACTACCCTCCCTTTTAGCTATTAAATTAGCTACCTTACCTTCTATAAGACTCTCTACTGCCTAAATATACTTCCTCTTTTAACCTCTAACCTCTGTTGCTATCTCTACTGCCTTGCGAAGCCCTGCTATTTCCTGTTGCATTAACACGCTATCATGCCCTATCTGTGCAATGCCCTTGTTCAGCTGCTTAACTGCTCTAAGCAGAGGAGAAACTAGGGAATCTCTGTGCAGTTGTACACGCTCACAAACTAGCGTTAACTAAGCCTCTATCTCACAGAGGTTGCTTAGAGTTTTTAATTCCTATAGGGTGTCCTCTAGCTTTAGTGGAGTTGGCGTATAAAGGACCACATCAAGCTTTAATATCACCACCTCTAGGTTATGTAGAACTAGTCTAGCGCCCCTAAAGCCTACATAGATGTTCTCCTTTGTAATTAACCTCTTAAAAGCTCCTTTAAAGGCTGGTAGGAAAGCCTCCTTCTTAATCTGCTTAGAGCTGTACTATGCTAAGCTACTAATCTTATTACTATATGCCCGCTTTAAAGGTGAAAAGCAACCTACATTAAGTGGCTGCAGCAGGTGCAACAAGTGAGCAGGCATACAGAGAACAATAATCTTCTCTTCCTTACAGTGTTTGTAGAACTTATGTGAGCTGTAGCTCTTATAGCTGTCCACAATTAGCAGCCTGTGTGCACCTACCTTCTAGTCTTTTGTATAGGTATTGAAGTGCTTTAGCTAGGTAATACTAAGCTTATTTAACGTCTAGCTATTAGGACTAACCTTAATTACCTAATCCTAAGGTAGATTAGACTGGCGGATGGGTACCATGTACCTAGGGTAGGGTATAGGTAGGGTATAGGTCGCACGGACGTAGGTATAGGTAGGGGAGGGTCGCACGGACCATAGGTATAGGTAGGGTAGGGTTACACGGACCATAGGTAGGGGAGGGTAGCACGTGACTAGGGATAGGTATAGGTAGGGTAGCACGTGCTAGGTATAGGTTTGGTTTGGGTATATTACTAACCTAGTTTGTATACAACTAACCCTAGGTTGTACTAGTAGATTCTTTCGCATACACAATACTTAGAAGAAAAAGCATCTATAATTTATTATCACAG